AAACACAGGTAATAGGTTAGGTTATTTTCTCCTGTTGAGTGGTCCTTAAGTCCAATGAGATGGTCACCCCAGAGGATGGATGTGCCACTATTGTATCTTGAGGAATATCTTGGTGGTCTCCTCATTGCTATGGCTCAAAGGCTTAACTAATGGGTAGGACTCTTGATTGCTTTTCTCCCTTGCAAGTTTGCACATCACCTTCCTGTATTATGAGATATGAGAGCCAGTCCTTGGGGAGGAGGCTTCCAGGCCAGTTCCAGCTTGATTCCTTCAAGTCCTGTGTCTGAAGTGCAGGTGCAATAGGGACTTACATCCCTATCTGGGCAGGAATCAAGGGCCATGGCAGTAGCCTGTATTGTTGGTCAGACTCCCCTGACCAATAACTTGAAGGAAGTTTTCCTACACCTGTTTTTTTTTTTTTTTGTTTGTTTGTTTGTTTGGTTGGTTGGTTGGTTGGTTGGTTGGTTGGTTTCGTCTATGGTTTTGGGCTGGAGAACATTGTCTCCCCAAGTGCTGTAAGACATACATATAATTGTAAGTAAATATAAAATAGCATGATTCCCTATTGCTTTTTCAAACATCTCTAGGGATATTTATGCTCCTTCTCTTTCTTCTTTTGTGTTATCCTCTCTCCCATTCCCCAGGTAAGTCTCCCCCAGTCCTGTTTTTCTTAATATCCATTTCTTTATTGTTTGTTTATTTTTGTGATGCTGTGGATACAGCTCAAGACTTCTCATCTTCTAAGTCAGCCTTACGCCAGCTCTTTCATTGTCAATTAACATATTCTTACTATATCATGATCCTGTCTCAAAAACTTACATAAAATGGATATTCAATTTTTTAAAAAATTTCATATGCATATGAATGTGTGCTGGTACCCTCTGATGTCAAAAGAGGGCACTGGGTTCCCTGGAACTAGAGTCACAGGTGGCTATGATCTTCCATCTTTTGCAAGAGCAGCAAGTGTTCATCTCTTCAATTTTAGGGTGCTCAATTTGTTAAATGACAATATGTGAACACTGTTACTAGGCCTGGATTGCTCAGTGATAGAGTAAAACACTGACCTAGCACGTGCAAGAGTCCTGGGTTCCATCCCCAGCTCTACAAAAAAGCTACCAATTAATGTTTGTTATTAATTATGATTGTTTTTTCAACTAGGAGTCTGATAAGCATTTGCTTTTTTGTCTTTTATGATCTCATAATTTTCTTTGTCTTTGTAATGAAATTATTTTATATTCATTTACTTATTTATGCATGTGCACATGCCCACACATGTACCATGGTGTGGTTGTGGAGGTCAGAGGATGACTTCCAGGAGCTGGCTCTTTCCTTCAATCATGTGGGTCCTGGGGATCAAGTCCAGGTTGTCTGGTTTGGTCATAAGCAGCTTTACCTTTTGAGTCATCCTGTCAGCCCACATTTGTAAAGTTTGGAGTTAGTATACAAATGTGACCATAAAAGGGTCCTCTAGTGTCCTCAGGAGAAGTGGCTTCTTCTCACATGGTTTTCTGGTCCCCTACTGGGTAACAAGTGTGACAAGTATCTGTTGAATTTTCCCTTGCATGAGTTCACAGGCAAATGTGGGTGTATTTATACCATCGTTATAACTACCCTCACCATGTGTATTAGTTTGCAGCTCACTTTTCCTGATATGGTCTACTATGCCAGTTTCACTTCAGTATTTACCCTCTTGTCCATGTGAGGGTGGAAGCTAGAGCCCCTGCACATGCCAAGCACACTCAGCTGAGCTATGCTTTACTTGCCTCCTGATAACAAACAAACAAACAAAAAAGCACTTTTATTGATTGTTTTGAAAGATTTGGTTTTTTTTTTTATTCTGTGTATAAATATCTTGCATGCATGTATGTGTGTGCAGGTGTCCTTGCAGGTCAGAAGAACACTGGCTTCCTTGTAGCTGGAATTGTAGGCAGTTGCAAGCTGCCATATGGGTGCTGGGAATTTAACTAAGGTCTTCTGGAGGAGAAGCCAATGGTTTAACTGCTGGGCCATCTCTCCAGCCCCCTTCTTTCTCTCTCTCTCCTCTCCCTCCCTCCCTCCCTCCCTTCCTCCCTCCCCCCTGGGTGTGTAGAGGTCTCAAAATGACTTGAAAGAGTGGTTCTCTCCTTCTATCATGTGGATCCTGGGACTGGAACTCAGGCTGTCAAGATTGGCAGCAAGTGCCTTTAGTCTTTCCAATATCAAGGCTGCCCTATTTATTTTTATTTATTTATTGAGACAGGGACTGGTGGTGCCAGGTTGGCTCCTAATAGGTTTGTAGCCTAGCATGAACTCCTGACCCTGCTCTCTGCTTCCTGAGTGCTAGGATGACAATCCAACTTCAGATCCTTTCTACTGAAGTCTGGGAGTGAGACTCCCCATTCCCTTGGTTTCATTGCTTTACCTCGCCTGGATCCCAGGCTGTCTTCAATTCTTCGGTTTAATTTGTTGCTGGAATATAACTTGTCAGCAAAGCCAGGAAGCACAAAGGATTTCCATAATGCAGGCAGAGTTGCCTTCCTCCCCTCCCAGCTCTTCTCTCAGTTCCTCTTCCAGGAAGTCAAGTACTTTCTTTTCCCTGCGTGATTGTGGACTCTTCCCACTTACACTTACACTGAATCTAAGGTCCTTGGGGACAGGGTGTACCATGCTGTTCACTGTCCTGCCTCCAGCCTTTAGTTTCTGAAGCACTGGAGTGTTTAGATGGCAAATACACAGACTCTTTCACTTGTGCAAATGGTACTCTTCTATTTCATTTTATCTTATTTTCCATGCTGGGGACATAATCCAGGGCTTTATGTATCACAGGCAGGGCCTCTATCCCTGAGCCACACCTCCAGACACTCAACTGGGGGATTCTAGTCCATTGTTCTATCACCTTTTGTACCCTATTGAAAAGCTTAATCTATCTAGCAAGTGATGAACCCTAGAACCCACTGTGTAACAGAAGATGCTTGAACTCTTGATTTTCCTGCCTCCACCTACTCAAGTGCTTGGATTACAGGCTTGTATTCAGATCACCACTTATTTATTTTTTGTGGTGCAGGAGACGGAGCACAGGGCCCTGTGTATGAGAGGCAAGTTCTGTAATACTGAGCCACACACCTCCACAAATGGTTGAGTTTTTTTGCTTGTTTGTTTGTTTATTTTGGTTTGGGTTTTTTTGTTTTTGTTTTTTGGTGTTTCCAGACAGGGTTTCTCTGTGTAACGCTCAGGCTGTTCTGGAACTTGCTTTGTAGACCAGACTGGCCTCGAACTCACAGAGATCCACCTGCTCTGCCTCCTGAGTGCTGAGATTCAATGTGTGTGCCACCGTGCCTGGTCACAAATGTTTTGAAGCAGTTATGGGGCACAGTCTTAAATAAGTCAAGGGGGAAAATATTCTCTCTCTTATGGAGCTTATGTTTGGGTGGGTAATTTACCTTTTGTTTTGTTGTGCTTAAATATTTTTGTTTTTAATTATGTGTAATTGTGTGCATGCATGTATGGGTATGTGCATGTGAGTGCAGGTGCCCATGAGGCTGGGGATGTTGGATACCCTGAGGCTGGAGTCATAGGAGGTTGTCAGGTCTGTGGGTGCTCATTGAGCCATGTCTTGTGCACCTTTTAAAAATTTATTAATTTTACGGGGCATTGGTGGTGCACCCCTTTAATCCCAGCACTCAGGAGGCAGAGGCTGGTGGATCTCTGTGAGTTTGAGGCCAGACTAGTCTACAGAGTTTGTGCCAGGACAGGCTCCAAAACAATACAGAGAAACCCCTCCCAAAAAATTATTACTTTTAACTTTATTGTGTGTGTGTGTGTGTGTGTGTGTGTGCAGGTGTCGCAGCTGGCCTTGGAAGTCAGAGGACAACTTGTAGGAATTGGTTCTCACTTTCTACTGTGTGGGACCCAGACATCAAACTCAGACTTTCAGACCTATTGGTTTTTTCTTTTTTCATTAATTTATTTTTTACATTCCAATCCCAGTTCCCCCTCCCTCCTGTGCTCTGACTCCCTCACTCCCTCCCCTCCCATCTCCTCCTCAGTGAGGGTAAGTCCTCCCCTAGAAAGTCTACTAAGTCTCTCCCATCATTTCATTGAGGCAGGACTCTTCAACCCTAGGCTGAGCAAGGTATCTCTCCATATAGAATGGCCTCCACTAAGTCAGTTAGCCTGTTACTGTTTTTAAAAAATCATTTATTATTATTGTACATGTTTTTGTGTATAAATGCAGGTGCAGCAATGCATGGTGTCATGTGGAGGTCAGAGGACAACTTTGCTAGGGACTGAACTCAGGTCAGGCTTCCAGGCAATTACTTTCCCCTGCTTAGTGAGCCATGTAGCTGATCTGCTGTTACTCTTAATTTTGGAATTTTTTTCACTCAGCGTTATTTAGAGGGAAGGAGACAACAGGATCATATAGTCAAACTTCAGAACAAACCTACTTCTACTTCCTAAGTGCTGAGATTAGAGGCCCAAACCGCCATGCCCTGCTTATGTGGTGCTGAGGCTGGAACCCAGGGCTTTGTGTGAGCTAGGCAAGCACTCTACCACCCAGATCCATATCTCAACCTGTTGCTCTCCAGAAAGGGTCTCACTTGCCCAGCCTGTCCTAGCAAGTCTGAATTTCCTGATCCCCCTAAATCCCAGGTCCTAGGTGTAGGTGCATGTGCCACCACAACCAGTTCTGTTTTGGGGGCTGGGCGTGGCACAAAGTAGGAATTTGTTTCTTGAAGGAACACATAGTAGGTGCTTAATCCTGAATTGCCAAGTCTTCTCGTAGTAGGTAAGCACTATTTCCTCCGTTTCCAGGTCCCAGGCACGAGCCTGGAGCAAGGCCTTCATTGTCTTCCAAAAGGAACACAGTTGTGTCAGGTCTAGGGTTAGGAAAGGTGTGACGTCACGCTGCCGTGACATCATGAGACGGCGGTTCTCACGGTGGGGACTGGGAGGGGCAGGACAGGAGGGGGGTGCGGACAAAGGGGCCCTCCACTTCTCCAGCGCGCGCCCTGGCTGACTGGCGGACCACATCTGGAATTCATTGCAAGTCGCCGCCGGAAAGAGGAGGAGAGAAGGGCGGGGCGAATAGGGAGTGGGGGCCGGAGGCGGCGGCTCTGCCCGCCTCCCTCTTGTCCTGGGTCCCCAACTCCGGGACGTAGACCGAGCCTAGCTAGCAGCCTCCAAACCCAGTCACTGGCTGTCCCGGGGCGCAGACGCCAAGGCCACTCAGGCCAGGGCAGGGACCCCGGCCGGCCTAGCCAGGTGAGCGCGCGGGGCCAAGGGGAGGTTCCGATCTGGGCGGCCCGCTGAGACTGCGGGGATACGAGTTGGGAGCTCCAGCCCAGGGTCAGGAGCTCATACAGGCTTAGCATGCGCTGCTCCAGGCTCTGCTGTACGGAAGGGACCGATCACCCCCCCCCCCTGCACTCGTGTCCACCACTCCAGGCAGTTTCCCACCTACTCAGTGGCGCACCCCCAGACAGAGCTCCCCGCCTTCCTCGGGGCAGGAAGTTGGTGCTGAAGAGAAAGGCGGAATCCAAGCGCTTTGGGTTGGCGACTTTGCAAGACAGGATGGGGTTTCTCAGGAAGCAAGGTTTGGGGCAGTGGGATTGTTGGGGAGAGGTACAGCATCCCTTCCCAGTTTCTGGCTTGAAGTAGGAGGAAAGGTGCTACGTAGGAGCGGCGGACGCTCGGAGTTCATGGGCGGGGTCCCCAGGGAAGGCCATCGCCCCACACCGCCTGTGAGGCTAGTATTTATTTATTTATTTATTTATTTATTTATTTATTGCCTCAGTTTCTCTAAGTTGGCCCTCTCCTCCGGTTTTGTTTCAGAAGGAGAGGAACAGTACTGTATAGTACAGATGCCTCCTCTTCCTATCCTAGCCCAGGGATGGGGCGTAGGGGCGAAGGAAGGCACGCGTGGCGTGGAGTCCACATTGTCGCGGGCTACACTGCGTTGGGACTTGCCCCCTTCTCTGGCACGGGTTGACTCACCCGGGGATTTCCACCTCCCCTGCTTACCCTCGTCTGTATTCTTGTTAGATGCCTAAGGCGACACTCTCTGAGCCCACGGTCCCCTGTGGCGGGACATGGGAGCATCACTGTAGGGGGTTGGGGGAGGGGGGATGCATCTTGGGTCTTCCCCTCTCCCCAGTGCCTGGGGAATCTAGGTGTGGGGGCTCTCTGATGTGATGTAGAGATGTCGCCTTCCCCTATTGCCTGGTACGGGGAGGGGGCCATCCTGCGCGCGTGTCAGGATCTCGAGAGAGAGATGGCGCCGCCCCAGAGCGAGAGAGTGTGGATACCGCGCATTCCTCCGCCTGATAAGGAGCCGAAGAGTGCTGCCTGGGCCGGGCGGGTCTTACCGTCGTCGCCTGGCTTCGCCTAGTGGCTGAGTTGGGGTGCTGCTAGGGGAACTGAGATGTCCCCAAGCTCCGCCTGGGAGCCCTTCATTTAGGGCCCTTTCATTCATTCTGTGTCTGCCTCCTTTGCGTTAGGCGCGAGAGGCTGAGCTTGAACTTGATAGCTGGCCTCATGGGGTACGGTGGAAAACAAGATAATTTCTGATGGTAAAGCTAGATGCTCTGATAGAAAGAATTCAGGGATGGGCTGGACACGATGCCCTATGCCTTTAACCCCAGCACTCTGGAGACTGAGGCAGGAGGATTCTTGTGAGTTCAAGGCCAGCCTGATCTACATAGAGTTCCTGATCAGTCTAGGATACACAGTAATACCCTGTCTCAAAAACAAAAAGAAGGTAATTTCTGAAGACCTTGAAAGTGACATTCAAATGAAATCCAAAGATGATATCATCTGCCAGAAAACACGTTTGTATGGGGGGAAGTGGGGTGGGGTGGGGTGGGGTGGGGGAGTGGCTGTAGGATATAGGGAAGGCCCTGAGGTCGAGATTCAAATGGTCCTTAGGAGGTTAGTGAGGGGTATCCATTGAAGTTCTAGGGAGCAGTAAGATTGGGGGTGGGGAGTGAAGATTAAGTTCTCCCCTGAAGGCCTGGTGGGCAGCAGCAGCGTGGGAGGGGCTACAGTCACACTGTAACCGAAAGAGAGAAAAGGTGAGTGAGTGCAGGATAGAGCTGGGGAGGATGAGCTCTGGAAGGGGTGGGACAGGAGCAGAGCCACTAAGCCACTGGGTCTTCCTCCAGCCTTCCTCTCTGCTAATCTTTAGCCAGGCAGTCCTGTCTGATGTCTGCCTTCCCTCTCAAGCCTCTCACTTGTGTTCTGCATCCTGGGAACCCAGGGGTTCAAAATAATGTTGTGCCCCCGAGCTACACAGAGCTCCCATTCTTAATTTTATTTATTTATAAACAGAATCTCACTATGTAGCAGTGGCTATCCTGAAACTCACTCTGTAGATCATGCTTGCCTCAAATTCACAGAGATCCACCTACCTCTTTCTCCCAAATCCTGCCATTAAAAGTGCCCTGCCACACTGGGCTTTTTAATATATTTCCTTTCCTTTCTTTCTTTCGTTCTTTCTTTCTTTCTTTCTTTTCGTTTTTTCAAGACAGGGTTTCTCTGTAGTTTTGAAGCCTGTCCTGGAACTAGCTCTTGTAGACCAGGCTGGTCTCAAACTTATAGAGGTCCTCCTGCCTCTGCCTCCAGAGTGCTAGGATTAAAGGTGTGTACCACCACTGCCGGGCCATATTTACATTTTAAAGGTTACATTTATTTATTTTGTGGCTGTGTCTATATGGGCATGTCTGGTTCATGGCATGAGTGTGGAGGCCAGAAGATAACTTGGGAGACAGTCCTTTTCCCCACTACGTGGGCTCTGGGACTAGATCAAGTCTTCAAGCTTGGTAGCAAGTGCCTTTAGCCAAAGAACCATCTCAACATCTCCCAGCCCACCCTTTTAATTTCTACTTGAGTCAAGGTCTGCCTATGCTACTCAAGTTAACTTTAAACTCATTATGTAGCCCAGGCTGGTCTTGAACTCTCCATCTTCCTTAGCTTCCTATGCAGCTGGGATTATAGGTGTGAACTACCTGGTCAAGCTCGTTTTCAGTTCAGGGTTTAGTGGCAACTTCCCCTACCCCCCCCCCCCCAGGCAGCCTGGACCACTGTGGTGGAGGGTGACATGAGAAGAGACTCAAGGTTTAACCAGATCTTGAAGTCTGGACAAAGAGAGGAGGAGGCCAGGCCAACTTCTATCTGCCTGGAGAGACTCTTCCTCCAAGGCACTAGCCCTTGGGCCTAGCTTCCTCTTTCAGGGAGTCCTTAAACCGCTTAAGCTCTTTGGTTAGGAAGGTTCAAGAAGGGAAGAAGAGACTGGGGAGACAGCCTGGACCCTAGTTTCCCCTCTTTACTGGACTGTGTATGGCTGCGCGCGCACATATGCCCGTGTGCAGAGTTTTAGCTTCTGCACAACTGTGAATCTAGCGCTCACTCCCTCTTTCGCCTCTGGGAAGACAGATTTTCTGGTCAGTCCCTGGGGTGCTCTGGCGGGGCTGGTCACGTTTATTTCTGCAGGAAACGGCCGTAATTCTTTCTTTTCTACACCACCAGACACTGGAGAAGGGGTGGTGGCTATCCTTGGGAGTCTCAGAGGGATCCTAAGGGACACACCCTGGGCTTCATGCCTACTAGGCTTGCAGTTGTGGGGGGGGGTTGATTCTCAAATATGGGGCCCAGACGATCAAGGCAGAACTGAGGTGTCTGAGGAAGGGTGACCCAGTGGTCAGACTGTGGTTCAAATAGCCCCACAGGGACAATCACACAGCTCCTGAAGAGAGAAGTCCCAGCAGCTTTCAAAAGGGAGCCGCTGTAAGATTCTTCTCAGAGCGCCCCCAGCTGGACCAATCGGATGCCGAGGATGCACCCTGGAGGATTGAAAATGAGCCAATCAGGCTCCAGGCTGCTTCGGCCTGAAGACCTGTCTGTGTGTCCTGGGCCAAGCTGGTCTGAGACCGGCTGCAACAAGCTGAGGGCATTGGTGCGCCCGGGGGCTCTGTCCAGGCTGGGGAAACAAGGGGCCTCTGTGTGAGGATATGGGTGGGGCAACTGTCCCGGAGGACACGTACAAGCTCTTCTCTGTTCACAAAGTAGGACGGATGTCCCCTTGCCTAGGGGGTGGGGAGCAGCTGTGTCTGTAACACCTCCTCGATCCCCCACCCCCGTCAAAGGCCAGAGTGTCCTACCGAGGGGGCATCTGGCAAAGGAGATGGCTGGGCGACCCCGGAAGACCCCCATCATTCTCAGTACTCACCAGGAACCGGCTCTTCCAGCCAGCTTCTGGAACTGTGCTCTTTCTGGGAAACACGTGGCCCTTGTCAGGCCTCTTTCCAAGCCCAGGCTTGGGAGAGTTCTTAGCATGTGGCCCCTCCCTGTAACCAAGGACGGGAGCATACTCTGTGCATTGCCCCAGCCCCCTCCTACTCTAGCTGGCCATGGTGTGCTCAGCATCTCATGTTCTCTGCCCACACAGGTCCCCTCCCCATCCCTTCCCAGGGATGCTCAGTTTTCCTTGCAAAGGAGGGGTGGGTGATTCAGACTTTTCATGGAAACAAATTTCTAACCCCCCCTCCCAACCCTTCTGCACAGATTGCTCCAGGGGGCCCTTCGCAGCTCACATGATTTTAGCAGTTGCCTCATCTTATTAGCCAGGACCTCCAAGACCAGGTCACTGGTGACTTCTTCAATCTCTCCATTCCCTCTTCATTCTCTCCATTCCCACCCCCAGACTTGCCCACATTGGATGTGACAAGGGCTCTACCATGTTTGTCCCAGGTGCTTGACACATCTGGATTGCATCCTGGCCCTGGAGGGGGTGCCAGCACCCTGCCCACCCACCTGGGACCTAGTGTCCTTGGGTAGTGTGAGATGGTGGGAATGGAAAACGGCTGTTGGAGTGGTTTGTTTGTTTGTTTTTAAATGGCTAAATCAGCATCCTTTTCCAGAGTGAGTGGAGGTAGCCCCAAAGCTTGTGTGTGCTGTGGAAGGGGACACTGAAGACATTAGTTAATACTTGTTGGACATTTCCTATGCTCTCTGTATGTGTTGTGTGTGTTGGTACATGTGCATGTGTATGCACACATGTGTGGGAGACATAGGACGAGTTCACCTATTGCCCCTCAGATTACATCCCACCCTGTTTTGCTTTGTTTTTGAGACAGGATCTCTCAATGGCCTGAAACTCTCCAGGTAGATTAGGCTGAACGACCAGCGGGCCTGGGGATCCTCCTGTCTGTTTGCCCAGTGCTGGGGTTACAAGTTTGAGCCATCGCCCTTGGCTTTTTTATGTGGGTGTTAGGGATTGGACTCTGGTCCTCATCCTTGCAAGGCAAGCACTCTACCTACTACTAAGCCATCTCTTCAGGCTATGTGTGTATCTTTTTCTTTTCTTTTTAATTCTTTCTCTTTGAGCTTCCAGGGGGATCCACCTGTCTCAGATTCCCGCATGCTACTGGTCTTATTTTATGTGGCAATCAAACTCTGGTCTTCACAATTAGAAGGCAATCTGTGAAACTTTTTCCTTCTTTTCTCTTTCCTTCCTTCCCCTTCTTGCCTTTTCTTTTTAAAGTTTATTATTGTGGGGAGCATAGTGTATATGTGAGTGTGGGCACACCCATGCCACTGGCACCCAACATGGAGGTCACAGGTTAATATTTGGGACTCAGTTCTCTTCTTTTACTGTGGCTTTGGGGACTCCAATTCAGGGTGTCAGGCTTGCTCAGTAAGTGCTTTTACCCATCTACCCATCTCACATGATCCCTTTGTTCTTGTTCTCACTGAGGCTGGTTGTCACTCTTGGGCTCAAGCTGTCATCCCACTTCAGCCCCTGGGGTGCTGTGATTACAGGTACATATCACCATCCAGGTTTCACACATCCTTGAAAAGGATTTTCTCATCCCTTATGAAGGGATCTTTTTGGTACCCATTGTACAAATGAATATGTTGAGGTCAAGAGTCTGAGCCTTCAGCAGGTCAGTCTGAAAGTCAGACTTGGAGTAGGAACAGATAAACTCTGACTTGCTACCAAGGTCTATGTCCTTCAAGATAATGCAGCTCTGGGAAGCTTGGACCTCAGGGCCGTCCTGGTGTCTCCCCAAGTCCTTATCTTTGGGTGTGCCCATGGCCGCAAGGCTTAGACCCAGCCAGGAATCAGGCAGTGGGTGGTAATGATCAGGGGTTGGTGCTGCGGGTACTAAGAATCTCACTTACCCAGGTCAGCAGGTGGCATGAAGCCTGAGGTGCCTGTGTGTAGGACAGAACTGACAAGCTGTCCAAGCCCTACCTTGGACTTGCTCTATGGAAGGCAGGTGAGGTTTCTAGGAGTCCCAAGAATCTTCTGTCTGATCCTTTCTTTTTTCTTGAGATAGGATCTTGTAATACAGCCCAGGCTAGCAGTCCCCTCCTTCTCTCTCAAATTCATGGCCTCTATTTCTTTAATTCTCTCTATATATATATATGTATGTATGTATATATGTATGTATGTATATGTATATATGTATATAAAATGCATATATACATATATGTATATTTCTAAATATATAAACACAACCTGTTCAGTCCATATAATGTTTTTGTATGAAAATGATTTCAGGTCATAAATGGTGGCACATGTTTAATCCCATCCCAGCACTTGGAAGGCAGAGATAGGAGAATCTCTGAGTTGGAGGCTGACCTGTACCAGGAGAGCTAGGGCTACACAGAGAAATCCTGTCATGAAAAAAAAAAAAAAAAAAAAAAAAAACAGAAAAAAGAAAGAAATCTGAATTGATTCCTCTATGCACGCATCCTAAACCTCTATAGTATAACCTCACTGTAGAGTTCCTGGAAAGCCACAGGTCTAATCTGTTGTCCCTTTTCTCTGCAGTTCTCATCCCCATGGCCCCAGCTGGCCACTGAGCCCCACCATGGGTGGCTTATATTCAGAGTACCTCAATCCTGAGAAGGTCCTGGAACACTACAATTACACCAAGGAGACGCTGGACATGCAGGAGACGCTCTCCCGCAAGGTGGCCTCGGCCTTCATCATCCTCCTATGCTGTGCCATTGTGGTGGAGAACCTTCTGGTGTTAATCGCTGTGGCAAGGAACAGCAAGTTCCACTCAGCAATGTACCTGTTCCTTGGCAACCTGGCTGCCTCCGACCTGCTGGCAGGTGTGGCCTTCGTGGCCAACACCTTGCTCTCAGGGCCTGTCACTCTGTCACTGACACCTTTGCAGTGGTTTGCCCGAGAGGGTTCAGCCTTCATCACTCTCTCTGCCTCGGTCTTCAGCCTCCTGGCTATTGCCATTGAGAGACATGTCGCCATCGCCAAGGTCAAGCTTTATGGCAGTGACAAGAGCTGTCGAATGTTGATGCTCATTGGGGCCTCTTGGCTGTTGTCACTGGTTCTGGGTGGCTTGCCCATCCTGGGCTGGAATTGTCTGGACCATCTGGAAGCCTGTTCCACTGTCCTGCCCCTCTATGCCAAGTACTATGTGCTTTGCGTGGTCACCATCTTTTCTGTCATCTTATTGGCTATCGTGGCATTGTATGTTCGAATCTACTTTGTAGTCCGTTCCAGCCATGCGGATATTGCTGGTCCTCAGACACTGGCCCTGCTCAAGACAGTTACCATTGTACTGGGTGTTTTCATCATTTGCTGGCTCCCAGCTTTTAGCATCCTTCTCTTAGACTCTACCTGTCCTGTCCGGGCATGTCCTGTCCTCTACAAAGCCCATTATTTTTTTGCCTTTGCCACCCTTAACTCACTGCTCAACCCTGTCATCTATACATGGTGTAGCCGGGACCTTCGGAGGGAGGTGCTGAGGCCCCTACAGTGCTGGCGGCAGGGAAACAGAGTGACAGGCCGTAGAGGTGGGACTCCGGGTCACCGGCTCCTGCCCCTCCGCAGCTCCAGTTCACTGGAGAGGGGTTTGCATATGCCTACATCACCCACATTTCTGGAGGGCAACACAGTGGTCTGAAAGGAAGGGGTGAACTGACAGACAACCAAGCCACAGAGAGAGCTCTGTGGGGAGAGCTCTGTGGGGAGTGCCACAGGCCTAGTAGAACTGACCATAACTCATAGGTCAGTTGGCCAATGTAGACACTGACTAAACAGATTGTAGTACCATAACTGTGGGGACTGTTAAGGGTCCAGGGACACAGCAGGCTGGAGCTTAGGGCTAGAGCATTTGCCATTTGGTACAAAGGGTGTCAGTATCCTATCCTACCTTCCAGCCACCTGGCTCCCTGCCTGCTGCTTTTAAGACAGGACCTCTCTATGTTGCCCTGGCTGCCCTAGAACTTGCTATGCAGACCAGCCTGGCCAGGAGCTCACAGAGGTCGCCTGTCTCTTCCTTCTAAATGCTGAGATTTAAAAGCTGTGTACCATCATACCCATCTCCTGCCACCTTCCATAGACTTCCATAGTGGAAACACTGTCCTCAGGGGACCCAAGGCTTCCTCCCTGTCTGTCTGAGGCCTAAATCCACAGCTTCCCCAATTTCACCAACTCAGTTACTTCTTCCCTTTCCTTTCATGTTCTGGGAAAGGAAACCTGTGTGGGTACAGGGAGGAGGAGCCTAGGATCCTAGTCTTCATCCTCAGACCTCATTGGCTACTTGCTCTATTGGAGAGTACAGAGGAATCAATTGAGGGCTGGGGAAATCAATGTGGGGCAGATGCTAAGGAGGCTTTGGTCTTCCTCAGGAGAAAACTCTCGGGGAGATATTGGTCATTCCTGGAACTCCCATTCCCAAATCCAGCCTCCCTCCTCACAAACTATTCCCACCTTCATCTTACCCCAGGTACCAGGTCCTCTAAGGCACGGCAGCCTTGCAAATTGTCTTTGTTGTTTTTAAAAATTGTGACAGGGTCTTCTGTAGCCCAGCCTGACCTCCAACTCACTATGTAGCCAAGGCTGGCTTTGGACTTCTGATTCTCCTGCCTCTACTTCCTGGATGTTGGTATCACAGGGGTTCACCACCAACACCTGTTTTGCAAGTTATCATGAATAACATAGTTAACAGAGATGTGAGGTGGCCAAGGATATTCCTGGGTACTCATATGTAACCTTCCCTTGAAGGACTTTGCTAAATCCTGTGGTGAAATAGAAAGTCCAATGCGGTACAAAATGTATTTATATATGTCTGTGTGCCCGTGTGTGACATATCCCAGTGTGGGTGTTGTCGGACTGCTTGTGTTCACATCCCTGTTGAAACTGCCAGAGAGATATATAGGGGTGGGCTCTGGCCATGCATAGACCCCTTGGGAATCGCTGGTTCATCTCTTCCACACATAGAAACCTTTGCCTCAGGTTTGTGAAAGAAAAGGTGGAGGAAGGGAAAATTTGGGATGCAAGGAGCCAGTTGGAGGTGTATCTCCTCTCATATAGCTTCCCAGATACCCTACTTGTGCTGGAGACCCAGATCTGGGCTAATAAACAGTTCAATTTCTCTTGCTGCTGGTGGTTATTAGTTGTGTGTGTGTGTGGATTATAGACAACCATTTCTTCCTATTAGTGTCCTTGGCCTGAAGCAGATGGAGTAAGGGAAATTATCAACTGCCAAGACACCTTAGCCTTCCCCATTTCTCTATTCCATGCTCCCACCCCCAACTCTTAGCTCTGCCTGAGCTGGAATTGCACTCAGTGACTTCTGGGAACACAGGAGCCAGCCTTGACCTTTTCCCTGGGGCTGTTGGGAGGCTGTTTTGCTCCTCACAGTGACTCATTAGGCCCAGGGCCTCCATGTTTCTTTCAAAGGTATGTTTTAGCAGGTGAGATGAGGCTGCTCTCCATCCCAAGTCTTTGAATAGTCTGGGGAATTGGAGAGGTGATTTCAGAGGGATAGACAAGCCTAGCTACTCTTACTTCCCAAAGTCATGGCTGACTACCATCACTTTCTTTTTTTTTTCAAGACAGGGTTTCTTTGTGTAACAACGCTGTCCTGGAACTCACTCTGTAGACAGGCTGGCCTTGAACTCACAGAGATCTGCCTGTCTGTACCTCCTGAGTGCTGGGACTAAAGTATGCTCCACCAACACCCTGCTCACTCAATACTTAGTTTTATAAGGGTTTTAAAAGTTTTAAAGTATGTGCTTGCATGTGTGTATGCATATGTGTGTGTGTGTGTGTGTGTGTGTGTGTGTGTGAGTGAGAGAGAGAGAGAGAGAGAGAGAGAGAGAGAGAGAGAGAGAGAAGATCATGGATATGTGCAGGCCAGGGAAATTGGATTTTCTGGTGCTAGAATTGGAGGTGTTTGTAATTGACCTGTTGTGGATGCTCAGAACAGAACATAGGTCTTCTAGAAGAAGAAGCAAGTGCTCTTAACATTGGAACCATCTCCAGCCTCTTTCCTTCCTTCCTTTCGTTTTTTTTTTTTTTTTTTTTATTCAAGACAGGGTTTCTCTGTAGCTTTGGAACCTGTCCTGAAACTCACAGAGTCCAGGCTGGACTTGAACTCACAGAGATCTGTCTGCCTCCCAAATGCTGGGATTAAAGGTGTGTGCTGCCAACACCTGGCTCTCCAGTCCCTTTTCATTCCTCCTTTTTCCTCTGCTACTGGGGATGACAAGCCTGCTGGCCAAGCAGTCTACCACTGTGAAGTGATTATATACATATATGTGTGTATGTATATGTATGTATGTGTGTATGTATGTATATATATATGTGTGTGTATATATATATATATATATATATATATATATATATATATAGAGACAGGGTGTTATGCAGCGTAGGCGCCCCTCAGATTCACTATGTAATAATAGCTGAGGATGACCTTGAAATTGTGATTTTCTTGCCTCCACCTCCTAAACTAGAGTTACATCACAAACTGGGTTTATGTTTTGCTAAGGATGGAACCCAGGGCTTCCTGCATCCTAGGCATTGCTCTGTCAGCTGAGTCCCACCCCAGCCTCAATTGTCTAGTTCTTTGTGTTTTTCTTTGTTTCCCTAAATGGGCTCAAGGGATGATCTTTCCTCCACTGCCAGAGGCAAGGGTCCCAAGAGCTTGATCTAGGGCTGAGGTGACAGCTCAGTGTCTGACATTCCAGAGTTTGCATCTTTAGGACACACGTGGTAGTAAGAGTCAGGTGGGCTTGGAAGCTGCCTGGAATCTCTGCACTGGTGAGTAGAGGCAGAGAGTTTTGGGGGTGGGGCAAAAGACCAATCTGGCTAATCCAGACCAGCCTGGCTGGTGAGCTCTGGGTTGTGATAGAGACCTTGCTTAAGTAAATTAAGAGGAGACAAATGGAGAAAAGACACCTGAAGTCAACCTCTGGCCTCTGCATACATACCTGCTCCTGTGAACTCAGGCATATGCAGACACACACACACACAAAGGTGAGAAGAATCTGAATTAGATGTGGCCATTCACATCTATAATCACTGCACTGGGAAGATGAAGGCAGGAGAACTGGAATTTTGGATCCATCCCAGACTACATACTGAGTTCCAGGCTAGCCTGAGTTACATACCAAAACCCTGTTTAAAACGTGTGTGTGTATCCCCACTCTGGCAGCATTTATACAAAAATTGGAACAATATGGAGATTAGCATGACTCCTACTTGAGAATGACAGAAAAATTCATAAAGCATTCTATGTTTTCAAAATAGTTTAAGGAAGAAACAAAAACAAAGAGGGACTGTTGAGGTTGCTCAATAGGTAAAGACTCTTGCCACCTGACTACCTGTGTTTACTCCCTGGGACCTCATGGTGGAAGAAGAGAACCAACTCCTGCAAATTGTACTCTTACCTGCACACATGCACTGCAGCACGCGCATGCACACACAGAGAGGCTCTCCAGCCTGGCCTTTAATACAACTCCAGTCCCAGACAGGGTTTAAGTTACCCAATAGTGATCATCTCTAAATTGTCCAGAGAGGGGAAATTCCAGTGGGGTGCAGGCCTGTGGCCTCTGTCCTCTTTCAGATTTATGTAGCCTTCCAACATTGCAACAGACAATTGACAGAGTTCATGAACTAGAACCAAGCCAACAAGTTAAAAATAATGTAAAAAAGGCAAGTGGTGGTGGCACACACCTTAATCCTAGCAGTCAGGAGACAGGCAGGTAGATCTCTAAGAATTTGAGGCTAACATGGTCTACAGAGTGAGTTCCAGGACAGCTAGGACTACTCAGAGAAATCCTGTCTTGGAAAACCAAACAAAAAGAAAAAAATCATGTAAGTTTCTGATTTTGAAATTTTTTTCTTTTTAAAACGTGTGTGTGTGTGTGTGTGTGTGTGTGTTCTTGAATGAGCATGTGAATGCAGGTGCCTAGGAGGCCAAAGATATCAATCAGACCTTGTGGGAGCTGAAGTTACAGATGGTGGTGGGGGCCTAACGTGGATGCTGGGAATTGAACACATGTCCTTCCTCTGCAAGAGCAGCAAGTGCTCTTAACAAATGAGCCATCCTTCCAGGCCCGTTTCTAATTTTGTGTTGGTCTACATTCATAGCTATCTTGAGATGCATGCAACCTGTAGGTTGCACATGCCTGTCCTGTCTTCCCTTCCACTGGCTACCTTTGTGTGCTGGGTGGGCCTCCAGCCTCCAGCTAGAATCCTTATCAAGGATCTTTTGTTTTGTTTTCAAGACAAGGTTTCTCTGTGGCTTTGGAGCCTGTCCTGGAACTAGCTCTGTAGGCAAGACTGGCTTTGAACTCACAGAGATTCGCTTGCCTCTGCCTCCTGAGAGCTGGGATTAAAGGCATGAACCACCAATGTCCAGTTATCAAGGATCTTTCTATCTAGTGCTTGGAATCAAGCCCAAGGCTTTGCACATAGTACACACACACACAGTGAGTTTAACATACTGAGCTAAAATTTGCTGTGTAGTCTGAAATTTAATCCCAAATACCCACACATTTAAGTCTTGGTCAAATGCCACCTCCTCAGAATATACCTGATTCCCTTTTATACCTTCAGCATTAGTCTGTCCCATTAGAATAGGAGCAGCTGGGGCTGGGGGGGGGGTGGCTCAGCAAAGTGCCTGTTATTCAAGCAGCAGGACTTGAGTCTGGATCCCCAGCTGATTTCATTACCTCAGACTAGGCTCAGTTTGTAGAATACTGGCTTGGCAGTCTAGTCCTGTACTCCATCTCCATCACTGCATATACAGACCATGGTGGCCCATACCTCTACTCTCAGAACTGAGGCGGTAGCAGCAAGAAGATGAGATGGTCAAGGTCAGCCTCAGCTACTTTGTGAGTTCAAGGCTAGCCTGGGCTACATAAGAACCTGTCTTGGGGTTGGAGAGATAACTCAGAGGTTAAGAGTACTGACTGCTCTTCTAGAGGTCCGGAGTTCATTTCCCAGCAACTACATGGTGGCTCATCTATAATGAGATCTGGTGCCCTCTTCTGGCCTGGAGGCATACGTGCAAATAGAACAATGGACACATAATAAATAAATCTTTTTTTTTTTTTTTTAAGTCTATCACAAAACAAATGTAGATTTTTGTTTGTTTGTTTTCAAGACAGGATTTCTCTGAGTAATAGCCCTAGCTGGAACTTACTTTGTAGACCAAACTGACCTCAAACCCACAGAGATCCACCTGCTTCTGCTTCCAGAATACTGGGATTAAAGGAATGCACACCCATTCAGATTCTTAAACTCTTGAAGAAATAATTTCAAATCAAGAAGGTCTGAGTTGACCCATGAACATGTTTTCATCAAACATTCCAAACAGTCTTAAAAGGAGGCTGAAGGAATGGTTCAGAGACTAAGAGCTGAGTTCTCTTACAGATGACCTGAATTTTGATTTCCAACACTCACATGATGGCTCATAACTGTCAGTTACTCCAGTCCCAGGGAATCTAAAATCATCTTCTAACTACCAAGGGTACCAGTCACCCATGTGGTGCACAGACATGCATGCAGGCAGAGCACCCATACACATAAAAACAAATACATAAACCCAGTGGTGGTGGCATATGCCTTCAATCCCAGTCCTCAGGAGGCACAGGCAGGTGGATTTCTGTGAGTTGAAGGCCAGCCTGGTTTGCAGAGCTAGTTCCACAACACAGAAAAGCCCTGCCTAGTAAAGAAATAAAAAGGGGATGGAGAGATGGCTCAGTGGTTACAAACACTAGTTGGTCTCCCACAGGTCCTGAGTTCAATTCCCAGCTAGGACATGATGGCTCAGAACCATCTGTAATGAGATCTGGTGTCCTCTTCTGGTCTGTAGGCATACTGTATATATAATGAATGAATGAATAAATAAATAAATCTTTAAAAAAAGAAATAAACCAAATGAATAAATAAAAATGCATGGTCATACTTTTTCCCCCCCTAAGACATGGTTTCTCTGTGTAGTCCTGGCTGTCCTGGAACTCACTCTGCATATCAGGCTGGCCTCAAACTCAAGAAATCCTGCCTGCCTCTGCCTCCCAAGTGCTGGGACTAAAAGCATGTGCCACCACATTTGAAATTAAAAATCGATTGTCTATAAAAGTGTCTTTAACCATAATAGCCACTTCTGTAATTGGTCTTGGTCTGGACTCCAGTTCCATAACACAGCTCTCACTGAGCACACACAGGGCCCCAGGGTCCATCACTAACATGGCATGGCAGGTTATAGGGAGGGCTTCACAGGAGCTAGTTTTGGTTCCTAGCACAAACAACTATTTGTAACTCCAGTTCCAGGGAATCTGGCAACTTCTGACTTCCATAAGCCCCAGAAATCTATATGATACTTATTCTGGCAAAGCACTTGTACACATAAAATAATAAATACAAGCATTCTTTAGTCCTGAGCAGTGAGATTCAAGGATGTTTAAAGTGTGATTAGCATAATATAAAGATTGAATTTTAAATTGTAATTAATTAGTTATCTTTTTAAATTTCTTTTTTGAGATAGACTATTATTCTGTAGCCCAGGCTAGCCTAGAACTCATTATGTGACCCAGGCTGGTCTCAAACTCCCAGAAATCCTCCTGTATCAGCCTCCCAAGTATTGAAATTACAGATGATACATCAACCAGTGTGTGTGTGTGTGTGTGTGTGTGTTGCTGACAATTGCATCTACTGAGCTATTCTCCCAGCCTCCTACTAATTTTAATTAGCATGTGTGGGCATTTGTATCAATTTTTTTTGTTGTCTTAAAATTTTCACTTATTAGCTGGGCAGTGGTAGCCCACACCTTTGATCCCAGCACTTGAGAGGTAGAGGCAGGCAGATCTCTGTGAATTCAAGGCCAGCCTGGTCTACAAAGCTACTCAGAGAAATCCTGTTTCAAAGAACAAAAAATTTTTTTCACTTATCATTTATTTTGTTAGAAGCACTTTCCTGCCAGCCTGGTCCCACAGCCACATCAGCCCCAAAATAAACACACAGAGAGTCTATTTGTTATAAAGCTGTTGGCCAATAGCTTAGAGCTTATTACTGGCTAGCTCTGTCTTAAATATTAACCCATGTCTATCAATCTAAGTGTTTCTACATGGTCTTATCTTCCTGGAAAAAGGGTCAAGACCTCTTATATCTCCCATGTCATACATCTTGTCTCCTTCTACTACATTTTCCAGAATCCTCCTTGTCTCCTAGCCCTGTTTATCTTGCTTTCCTATAAGCCAACAGTGTTTTATTCATTAACCAACAATAAGAGAAACATATTTACAGAATGACATCTCCCATCATCTCCTCTTTTCTGTCTAAATAAAAAAGGCTTTAACTTTAACATAGTAAAATTACATATAACAAAACAGTTATCAAATAAGAATTATAGTTAATAATATTTAGTCTATTAACATCAGGAATTAAAGAAAATGTTCTATCATCTATCTTTGTGAGTCTAAAGTTTTATATGTAACTTATCTTTAATACTAACCAAGGAAAATTATAACCATAACTGTCTTAAACTCCATCAAAGACCACAGAAGGATAATATATAAACTCTAGCATTGATAGAGCCTGGTCAGTCACCCAAAAAATTCTTCTGTAATGTTCCATTTTCAGCCTATAGGCCATAGTGTGTCTGGCAGACTCCTCAGCAAAGCAGGAAACTTTAAACTGTCCACCTTTATTGGCAGTTTGTCAGTCTCTTTTCTCTGTGTCCTGCAGAATGTCTGGCAGACTCTTCTATGAAACAGGAACCCTGCAGTAATGTCCATCTTGTTTCAGCAGTCATTTTCCTGTGGGTCCTGTATGTTCATTTTATACAGCATGAAGTCAAACAGTCTAGACAAGAGTAGTATGTTGCCCAAATAGCCAGTCTTGGAAGTCAGGGTCTTGAGCCTACAACCTTTGTCCATGTACCAGTACACATGCTTCTGCTTTGGGTTGCCTTGGATCAAGTGTGTACTGGCACTGTATTATCATAGCAACAGGAATCTACCATGCTTATTGCTATGATTATGACAGGGTAATTTCTGAATTTTGCTTTATGACTCAGGTTAGTTCTTTTTCTCATTGATATCTAAATTAGACACAGTTTTAATTGACAATTACTGATACTAATCTTACTGAATTCAATGACAGGAAAAGTGAGTTTTTTTCACCTTTAAAAGAGATTCAAAGTACTAACAATTTTATCATCTATTCATCCATCTACCCATACATCCTTCCTTCCATCCATCCATTCATACACCTACAATCTATCCATTGATCTTAC